CATCACACATTGACCCGCTACCCTTCATTGCATTTCTTCCTTGTTTTAAGTTTAAAAGAGTAATGAGTATAGACGCCCTCAGTCTTCAGTATACGCGCCATAATTTAAGCTCCGCCTTTCCCCGTTAGCAGGAATTGCCGCAGCCTGCCAGCTTCTGTAAGGATTGTCGGGCCGGGGATACTGACCAGGATTTGCGCCCACAAGCTCGAAGGATGTCAATACTGTGTTGTTTAGTTTTAAGCCGTAGTTATGAATAGTCCATAAGATAAAGTTCGGGTTAAGATTAAGGTTAAAAGGATTAGGGTTAACGTTGCAAGAGTTAAGCGTTAGGGGATGGCGTCTCCCCTTGCCAAGGACTTGCTGCCCCCCCCCTACCCCGCCGGCGGGGCCGAGCTTCATGCTCGTTAAAGACGTGGGCAGAAAAAGTTTTCCGACAACGAATCCGTTCGCCATCCGTCGCAAACTCGAGCTGCACGCTGTCGTGTCGTGTCGTGGCTCCGGTAAGAGCGTGGTTCCCTCTCCCCTCCCCACCAGTGCCGCGCATGCCAACAGTTCGGCCACGCTGATCGGACCTGCCGGGCTGCACGCCGTCGTGTCGTATCGTGGCCCTGGTAAGGGCGTGGTTCCCTCTCCCCTCCCCAGCAGTGCCGCGCATGCCAACAGTTCGGCCACGCTGATCGGACCTGCCGGGCTGCACACCCGACCTGCGGCCGCTGCGCCGGTCCCTACGACACACGGGAGCGTGGCGCTCAAACCCGTGCTGCGTCACGTGCAAAGGCCCGCACGCAGCTTAGGACTGCCGCGCCTGTTCCGCTTGGCACATGCAGCGCGAAGCCCTGGGGGAGCGCCAGCAGCAGGCAGTAACAGCCAACCTTGCACACGCCTAACGAGAGTTCCACTCTCAGGAGTGGCCCACTCCGCGGAAGGCGTGCCCTCGCCTTTCCCTCTGACACCAGCTCCGCAGCGGCACCCCCTACCTCCTCGGCGTCTTCCGAGATGCCGCGCCAGCGTTGTGCCTCAGCACAGCGCTCCTCAGCACGCCGCTCCTCCCCAGCAGGTCAGCCGCGTCTGGTGCGGCGTCCGGTCGAGCCTGCTCCAACCGACCAGTTGAGGCGAACCCGGTGGCAGCGAGCCCCCTGAGGAGGGACCCGCCTCACCAGACTCAGAGAGCCTCTCCCGCGCCCCAACGCAACGGTGTTGCCCCCACCCCCAACCATTACCGGTGTGCCAGGGAGCCCCGTCCGATGCCCCAGCCGCCGGGTCCGGGACACCAGTCTCCCGAGCCAATCCCTCGCCCGGTCGTCCAGCCGTTACCGGCGCGCAAGGGAGCGCCATCCGATGCCCCGGCCGCTGTGCCCGGGACACCAGTCTCCCGAACCAATCGAGCCAAGCTCGGTCGTCCAGCCCGACGCATTACGCGTTTCCGCCGTCGCCCCCCCCCCCCCCTCGATCTCCCTCCCACCGCCGCTCCGCAGTATAGTCTCCTTACCCTCCCTGAATGAATCCCCAGTTCGGTGAATTCTTGTTTCAATGGAATACAAGATCACTAGTATCCCATTGGGCAGAATTAAAAGAATATATGACCAAAAACAAACCACTGGTAGCCACTTGTCAAGAGACCTTTTCAAGGGCTCAGATTCCCTCGATCATAACTGCTTGCTGCCTCCGCAGAAAAAACGTAAAAGGAACTCCACGCCGGAGTGGTTCGGCTTTGTTTCTCTCAAATAACTTTCTGCTCTATCGGGCTCATCTTACTGCGCATTTCAATTTAGTCGCGACCAATGTAAAATCAGTGCAGCTACGTTTTATTCCTCTTTCTATATACCTCAGCCTCACTATCCCTGTGTCCTCAGCTGACCTATCCGCCTTGCTTTCACAAATGCCCTCGCCCTGTCTCCCACTTGGGGATCTGAGCGTCCATCATCGCGCATAGGTTGTAGCACGACGCAAGCAAGGGGGAGAGTTTTACACACACTCATGGATCCTCACGACCCCGCATGCACCAACGGACTAACACCTACACATGTGCACATCACCGCGAAGGCGGTGATATACTCTGTCATAGATCTGGCCTTGACAACACGACGGGTAGCACCACTCTTCATGCCCAACGTTCAGTCGGACCCGCTTTTTGGTGACCACCATCGGATTCACGTTTTACTGTCCCCGCAGCTCTATTTACAGGTCCGCTCAATGCACATAGACTTTAATATTCTTCTCTGATGGAATGTTCGCAAAGCGCACTGGGCATGCTTCGAAAATTAGATTGGGGAGGCACACACCCCGGGATCAATTCCCGACCTCCCCACATTTCTAAGCAATATTCTAACTTCAGCGCACCAGTTTATTCCACATATGCATCGTCGGGCAGGGCACAGACATGCGCCCTGGCGTAACGACGAGTGTCAGCACGCGGTAGCTCTGCTTCGCCGGGCTATGTGTGCCTTTCGTAGTTGCATTTTCATAGCCCAAGAAAATGAGGTTCGCAGAGCTAAACACCACGCCGGCATTGCTATTTTGTATTCATCATTAAACGCGCAAAACAGGAAAGCTGGAAGCAGTTTTTAAATATATTCAACTGTTTGTCCCCACATCATCTAGAATATGGTCACTAATTCGGTGTTTTACAAACAAATTATAAAATATCACGCCACATTATAAAATAATCCGCGCCTTGCAGTCTGCAACCGACACTGCAGCATCCCGTTCGAAGTCGCCACAGAATTTGCCATACACTTCGCCCGTGTATTATCATACCAACAATATTCACAACAAATCACTAACACACCCATCGACACACTGCTCGCTTTCAACTTCATGTCGGCTTACACTGATACATTCAACGCCTTCTTAACACCTCAGGAACAAGATCTTGCTATCAGTAAGTGTGGAAACATTCCTGTCGGTGCAGACCATGTAGCTTACTCCTTCTTCAAAAATCTTGTCAGGTATGGTCTCATTCATTTTCGGTTGGCTTTAACGATATGTGGGTAAACGGTCCATTCCCCTTCATAGCGCTCTAGCACACTTATCGCTAAGCCTTCTAAACTTCCCCCTGACCTTTTGAGCTATCGCCCCATCTCTCTCACCAGCTGTGATTCCAAAATATTCGAACGAATGTTCAACGGTCGTTTCCGGTTGTCCCTAGAGTCGAACCACCTTTTTCACCTTTTCAGAATGGCTTCCGTCTCGCCCGCTACACGGCGGGTAGCCTGGTTCATATGACTGATGCAATTCAGCTCGGATTTGAACCTAAATCAAGTACGGTAGCACTCTTCGTGAATTTAAGGCCGCTTTCGATAGGGTGAATGAGTGCTCTCTTCAGTAAAGGGAATGTTCTGCATTTATATGGGGTTTTGAACTGAAATAGTCATCCTGCAGACCTTTCGGTGTTGTTCACAATTCTGCCTCTTCTTAAGACCTTAGCTCCTCTAGCTTCTTAGCTACACGCCCGCGAAATGGGAAAAGGTGTGTCGGGGGAGTATTTCGGTCACTTTGGTGTCCCTGACGTCAAAATAGCGTCACTCAAATTCTGCCACTTAATAAGCCATGCGGCGGTCGGGGTCAAGAAAAACATTATTGTCGAGGTGTTCATATCTGGCATTCATGAGCGCAATGACCAGATATAACGGAACTGGCTTCCAATCAATGTTTGCCATGTACGATGACGTAATCAAACCATGACGCATTGAGGAGCATTTTAAACAGATAATTGTGCTGTCTAGAGCAGTATTTTCAACTTAGAATGTATGCCAAAAGTTATAAGTGAGCTTGTTTCACCAAATATGATATTTGCTTCAATATCTTCAAATGTGAAACATTCTCTTTTAAGTTGCATGAAATTTCAGTTCGCGGCTGTCTCGCCGCTTTCATAAAAAACTTTTCAAATGATAGAACATTTTATGTACGTTCCGGAAATATCTATTCTTCTCCTGCGGCACGGGAAAACGTCTTCCCCAAGGCAATGTCATATCTCCAAACCACTTTCTCGTAATGTTTAATGATGTTTCCAATAATGTTGATAATATTTCTTTACGTATTTAATATTTCTGCATGCGGTCGACTTAGGTGTGTGGTATACGCATGCTATCCATCGGGCCATGTATTATGTACAAGAAGTTATGAATGCTATCCACGTGTCGCGTACACGTTGGGGACTGCAGGACTCCCCAGTGAAGTCAGCAGCAGTTAGCTTTCCTAGGCGAAATAATGTTTAGCTTGCGACTCCCTCGCCTTTCCCCTAGATTTTAATGGCGGAATGATCGATCCCCCTTGATCACAGTTGTAAATACATTGGCATGACACCTGATCGTTGCCTTGTTTTCTATGCTCATTTCGCCGGCCTTAAGCAATGCTGCCCCCAGACGACTAAGCACGATAGAATGCATAGTGGGACGGGAGTGGGCCAACAAACACACGCTCCTCCGCTTCTATGCCTCCCTAAGCACGATAGAATGCCATTAGCGGAACGGGATGGGCCAACAAACCCACGCTCCTCCGCTTCTATGCCTCCCTAAGCACGATTTAGAGAATGCAGAGGGACGGGAGTGGGCCACCACAAACACACGCTCCTCCGCCATTTATGCCTCCCTAAGCACGCACAGAATGCATTAGCGCGGGACGGGAGTGGGCCAACAAACACACGCTCCTCCGCTTACTCTATGCCCTAAGCAGCTCACGAAGCTAGAATGCATAGCGGGACGGGAGTGGGCCATACAAACACACGCTCCTCCGCTTCTATGCCTCCCTAAGCACGATAGAATGCATAGCGAGCGGGCGGGAGTGGGCCAACAAACACGCGCCTCCTCCGCTTCTATGCCTCCCTAAGCACGATAGAATGCATAGTGGGACGGGTGGGCCAACAACACACGCTCCTCCTCCGCTTCTATGCCTCCCTAAGCACGATAGAATGCATAGCGGGACGGGAGTGGGCCAACAAACACGCTCCTCCGCTTCTATGCCTCCCTAAGCACGATAGAATGCATAGTGGGACGGAGTGGGCCAACAAACACACGCTCCTCCGCTTCTATGCCTCCCTAAGCACGATAGAATGCATAGTGGGACGGGAGTGGGCCAACAAACACACGCTCCTCCGCTTCTATGCCTCCCTAAGCACGATAGAATGCATAGTGGGACGGGAGTGGGCCAACAAACACACGCTCCTCCGCTTCTATGCCTCCCTAAGCACGACAGAATGCATAGCGGGACGGGAGTGGGCCAACAAACACGCGCTCCTCCGCTTCTATGCCTCCCTAAGCACGACAGAATGCATAGCGGGACGGGAGTGGGCCAACAAACACGCGCTCCTCCGCTTCTACACCTCCCTGATACCCCCAACCTTGGGCTACAATGACTTCCTTTTCTATGACATTTCTTCCCAAAAACCGAAGGCCGTCTAGAATGCTGTCTTACGGATAGTGACTGGTGCACTTCGCACTTCCTGGTCCCAAACCTGCTCACGGACACGAATCTCCGCTCCCTAACACACTGGCGAGCAATGCAACTTCTTAGATTTTACACACATGCTACGACGCACGTTGATAACCACATATACAACACCCTCACACACCTCCGCCCCAACCGCACCCCTCACCAACGTGGAACTTCGGTGCCCAAACATTGGCACCCGTGTTATTCGAGCGCAATGAGCGCTTAATCTCACGCATATTCCCTGAAGCCCCATTCCTAGCCTGCGACGCTTTTAGGGCGACCCTATACCGAACGTAATATTTTTGTTTGCATACAAAAAAAGTATAAAAAAACGAAGTGCATGCACCCTTCGTTGAGTTCAAAGATGAACATGACCAGCACACATTTATATATGTTGACGGCTCCCGACGCGATGGCCGCACGGGAACCGCCTCCGTCCATCATAATTACCGTAAATCCCACCGCTTGTCAAATAGCAACACTGTGTATACGGCTGAACAAACAGGAATCCCGGCAGCCCTGCTCTACATCAGGGATAGCAACATGTAAACGGCAGTGACATGCACATCATCATTCGTTGCTACAACCTCTCATCATTCTTTATTACTCATCCTATCTAATTATAAGCGGCTTACGTCGGACGCTCTACTTCCTTCCTCCACATACTCGCGTAATTTTTATCTAGATAAGCCAATATTTATGGAAACAACATAGCTAACCAGGAAGCAAAGCAAAGTCCGATATTATCTGAATGCAATCATCGTTCTTGTTTAGTTTCCGATATTTTTGCAGTTATCACTTAACATTTTTGTTTCTGTCCCTTATCTGGTCAGGGTCAACGCATTATCAACTCATCACTGCCTTCACCCAGTCAAACCCATACTTCAGCATCGGCCATCGATTTATGAAGACAATCGTCTCAAGGAAGTGCTGCTTGCCAGACTTCATATCTGTCACACCAAAATTACCCATTGCCTCCTTTTCGAGCGCAATCGTTCTCCGCTGTCATTGTTGCGACACCCCATTCACGCTAAATCACTTCCTCCTCGTATGCTCGGTACATCAAAGATCAAGACAACCGGTCATCAGCTACACCAGCGCCAATAGGCTTCTATTCAATCTCCATCATCTCCTCAGTGACTGTTATCCAGACTTGCTCATTCCCATCTTCGAATTTTTCAAAAGTACAGGATTATATAGGCTCATTTAAATAAACGGGCTTTCCTGCATAAATTGGCAAAAATTGCAGGCCTTCCCCTCTACTAGTAGCTTTTTTTGCTAGGACTTTACACGACTAAATAACATCACACAGCACTACAATATCGTGTCGGGCAGCGGAGCCCAGAACTGCTCTCCCCGTTGACGCGATGAGGCGGCCTGGCATGCATCCATCGCACAAGTCGCCGACGAGTCAGCTGAGCCAAGGTCACCGCTGGTCAGCTGAGGTCAAGGCCTTAGGCAAGGCCTCAAGTCAAGTCAAGGTCAAGGCCTCAGATAAGGCTTCAGTAAGCTGGTCAGCTGAGGTCAAGCCCAAAGTCAGCTGAGTCAAGGTCACCGCCTAAGAAAGATACCAAGGTGCCGTGAAGATACTAAAAATACCAAGGGTACGGTAGAAGGTATTTATGGAAAGGATTGCTAGTGTTTTATAATAAAATGTATGGCTTTTGAAGCCCAATGGAAGATTGTGGAATGTACTCTGTAATATTTTGCTGTGGCCGTCCGCAAAATTTTCGGTCAAAAGCATTTCTGGCAGCAAGCATCGCGTGAAATTATACATTTTTTATCACCAATCTTATCCACCAAGTCGGCCAGTTTTACTACTCCTGGAAATGTCTCTTGAAGTGTAAAGAAATCCAAATTAGCTTAGGTGCTGTTTGTGTAAACTCGATCATTTCCCAGAATTCAAGATGACGGCGACCGCCATCTTGAATGATATTAAGTTTTGTTATCTTGATCTGGATGACATAGGTGGCCGTGTAATATCTCTAAAGGGGGGTAATCATCGGTGCCGAGTCCGTTGTTGGACTTATTTTTGGAATATGAGGCCTAATTAAGTGCCAAATAAAAGGTAAAGTATCCAAATCAGAGAAGACATTTGGCGTGCCATGCCGTGACATCTAAAGAGACTTTGAGCACAGGACTACCAGCCATCAATCAACCATTGTGTTGTTCTGATGCTTTGCATAGTTATCATCACTATGTGCACCTAGATCTCCTTCGTTTTCTGCGATGTCCATCTGTTTGCTGGTGCAACGACCGAAACATACGATTTTTTTCTAACACTGGCGGTGGTCTGTGCGCCAAAGGCTTGCGCTGTAACTGTTGCAGCTGTAGCGTGAACGCTGCATGCCTTGCTTTCAACGCTGCAGTTGCAGGTCACTGCATCCATGAGCGCTTGGGGAGTAGTTATTACTGTTGAGATGGTCGGTATGATGGCGGAGATTTCGACGACTTTCAGCCAGGTCTTCTGCGATCCCAGGAACTGGCCAGGTGACGGGATGCAGCTGCTCGTCGAGGTCGGCCAACATCTGATCTGCTGGCACTGCGGCCTCGCCGTCCGGGTGTCACCAGGCAAGCACTACCGCCAGTAGTGCTTGCCTGGCACTCTGGTGGAGGCGCTTCATCTGCCTCACATGTCAGCTCAGTTAGCAAGCATAACTGACCTGCCACGAAGAAAGACGGCAGCGTTGCTTTGAGGCAGTGCTGAAGGAGGAAATTGTCGTCGAAGTCGTCGTTCCCGCGGCCCAATCTGGCAGCTGACTGCCGGCAGTCACCTGAAATCCACCGTCTTCTGGCCTTGTGGACGCATCCATGCAAATGTGTACGGCGGTGATGTGAGTACCCGTCGCGCCGCCGCCGCGCGGGCTCAGGTCTCGTGCCCGCGCCCGGCTCGGTGGCGGCCGGCTGGCAGACCTAGCGGCGCCTGTTGTACTCTTCCTCTTCGCTCTCGTAGCCCGGACTGCTGGGGCTGTACATGGGGTGGGTCGGACTGTAGCTCGAAGTCGTCGGACTGTAGGTGGGACTGGTGGGGCTGTACTTGGGGCTGGTCGGACTGTAGCCGGGACTCGTCGGACTGTAGGTCGGCGAGCCTGGCGAGTACATGGGACTGGTCGACGAGTATATGGGCGAGCTGGGGCAGTTGGAGGGCGAAGTGGGCGAGTAGGCGGGGCTGGTAGGGCTGTACTTTGGGTTGGTCGGGGAGTACTTGGGCGAGCGAGGGCGGTACGCTGTCGACGCCGGGCTGTACGTGGGACTCTTCGGGCTGTACTTGGGCGAGCTCGGTGAGTAGCTCGGGCTCGTAGGCGAGTACTTGGGCGAGCTAGGTGAATAGCTCGGGCTCGTAGGCGAGTATTTGGGAGAGCTAGGCGGGTAGCTGGGACTCTGCGGCGAATACTGCGGCGATGTAAGCGAGAAGCTCGGACTGGTCGGCGAGTAGCTCTGGCTCCTCGGACTGTAGCCTGGTGATGACGGACTGTAGTTGGGTGAGGTAGGTGAGTAGCTCGGTCTCGTCGGCGAGTAGCTGGGATTCTTCGGGATGTAGCCGGAGCTGGTCGGACAGCAACTGGGACTGGTGGGACCGTAGGTGAGGCTGGTGGGACTGTAGCTGGGACTGGTGGGACTGTAGCTGGGGCTGTAGCAGGAACTCGGGCTGTAGCTGGGACTGGTCGGATTGTGGCTGGGGCTGGTGGGGCTATAGCTGGGACTCGTCGGGCTGTAGCTGGGACTGGTCGGATTGTAGCTGGGGCTGGTGGGGCTGTAGCTGGGACTCGTCGGGCTGTAGCTGGGACTGGTCGGATTGTAGCTGAGGCTGGTGGGGCTGTAGCTGGGACTCGTCGGGCTGTAGCTGGGGCAGTTAGGACTGTAGTTGGGGCTGGTGGGGCTGTGGTTGGACCTGGTTGGACTGCAGCTGGACCTGGTCGGACTGCAGTTGGGACTGGCGGGGTCCCGACTGGGCGGAGTGGGCGCGTATCCGGGAGACGGCGGGCTGTAACTCGGTGGCAGTCCGCCGCCGGGGATAGCCGGCTGCGGCGACCAGCCGGGCGGCAGGTCGGACGCGTCGCTGCTGCCGCCCGGCGAGAAGCCGGGCCCGCCGGGCGATATACCGCTGCTCATGCCCGGTGACCAGACACTGGCGTAGGCCCACGTCGCGCTCTGGTTCCAGGGCGTCATCGCCGGCGACATGCCCACGCCCATGCCGGCGCCCCATGTCACTGGGATCTCGATGCCGTGCTTGCACTTCTCGGCGTCTAGCAGCAGGTCGAAACAGCCTGCCAAGCGGTGCGCTATCACGTCGCAGTCAGGACAACGGGCCGCGGCGGCCATACCCAACACCTAACCACGACGGCCAATGCAACCTGCCACAAGTTTTCGACCAATTCATGCATATTCAGATTTCATGCATTTGGCCGCCTTTCCTATACGGTTTATTAGGGTCGAACTGTCCGACCGCAGGGTAGGATAACGGCCAGGCTGTTGTAAATTGCTCCTAGATCTCTGGTCTTCCTCTTGATGTGTCGTCAAAAACGAAACACACACACACACACACACACACACACGCGCACACACACAC